CGGCAAACTTGGCCAGTCCGCTTCTGATTCCAATGTCCACATCATTAATGAAGATATTGAACAATACGTCCAAGGACAGAGCCTTGGGGGGACCCCACTGGTCACAAGACACCATGACGAATGACTTCCTTCAATTACCACCCTCTGGGTCTGACTACGGAGCCAGTTCTCCAGCAAGCAGATCGTGGTGGACCCAAGGTCACAATTGGCCAGTTTCGCCAAGAGGTGATCATGGGATAACAGATGGAAGGTTTTTTCAAAATGCTGACATCACAATCTCTGAGTACAGGCAGTCCTCAGACTTATGACACAATTGGTTCCTGAAAACCACGTCTTAAGTAGAAACGTCATAACTTGGAACTGATTTTCCCATAGGAACAATGTTATAAATGGGGGATTGGTTCCAGAACCGAGGCCTGATACACTATTTTCAACAAAAATAATGCAAAATTTTGTACTTAATCAATTATAGATGAGTAATATAGCTACATTAATGCATTTATACTGTAAACAGAAATCATATCGATTTGGAAGGACTTCTTTGAGGTGACGTTGACGGATTTTTTGAAGGGCTCTTGGCTGGAGTCTTCTCAGGAGTCCTGGCTGCAGGTTATTCTGGAGTCTTGTCCGCTTTCTTAAACAAAATCATCCAAGGAAGTTTGGAGAGATGTTCTCCAGGGAGATGGGCAACACAGCAAACTCATTCACTTGTGTGGCATGGCATGGCACCCAGCAGCATAAAGTTGAAACTGATGCCAGAAAGTCGAAACAGGGTGTCAATTTATAGATGTCGGCAAGTGGCATTTGTCGTAACTCAAAACGTCATAAGCTGTGGACTGCCCGTATACAGGAGTAGAAGCAAACTTTTCAAGTACATTTAAAAAAAAAAAAACACACACACACACATACACTCTCTCTCATTTGGCTACATATGGAAATGCCTTGCTCAAAAGAAAACAACACAATCTACTATCCCAAAGCAATAGATTTAAACCCTGTTGTAAATACATTATTTCATGCCTCCTTAAAAACAAACAAACAAACAAAAACTCCTCTTCCTTTCTTGAACAAAGACCTATGATGTCACGAGACAAACTGAGTATACCTTCTTCTTCACTTTTTTCCCTGTATCTGGGTCTCTCTCCTCTTTTTCCACTTCAGTGATGAAATAGTCATCCAGGCTGAGCACTCTGGGTGCAGGCCCTCCGCAGTCTACTTCCTTATCCTGGGAATGAAAAAGATGAGTATAAATTCCATTCTACCATGGGGGACCTCAGAATGCACTGAGCTTTTATCAGCATTCGGTTTCATGCTGAGCAAAAGATAATTCATACTTTCTTTTACAGATTATCACTGCCCTTCTACACTGGAGAGAAATTTCATTTGAAGATAAGGAAGCTAATATAAGTATAGTACTCACTTCAAATATTCTTGAAGTAAATATAGAAGATGATTCTGGTCCAAAGATTGCTTCTTCCAAGACCATCTTTCTTCTTCCAAGACCAGAGCCATCCCTAGGTAGATGTGGGGCCCACTTAACACTGCACCCTCCCATGGGACCCCCGCAAAGACAAGGCATGGACTGGGGCAGCATTTCCCAACCTTTCCTGTCTCACGGCACACTTACATGGGTAAATGAACATTGCGGCACACCAGATGCAGGGGGAGGAGTGGTGGCCAAAATTTCCGGCTGGAACACACGTAAAGAAATTGGGACGGTTCTGTCCACGACTAACTTAACATGAACCCTCTGTACAACTTAACTTGACTGAACAATTCCCTGTCCATACATGTATACCATTAAAGTCAAATTTTCTTTCTCCTTCTTATATAGCACTGGACAAGTGGAAAGGCATGAAATGGCAGAAGTATGTACGCAAAGGCACCTGCTGACATGTTAAGATTTAAAGCCTAAGGAGAGTCTGACAACACAGGAAGCAGCTACTTACTTACCCTGATTAATTTTGCTACATGTGTCTTTCCACTGCCAGGCAATCCCCTCATTATGATAACAATCTGGAACAGAGACCATGTAAAGGGAAAGATGAGTGTTAGTACTCTATTCAAAAGAACCTTCTGAGAACAGGAAATGGTCTTCTCTCTACCAACCAAAATACTCTAGCTCACAACCTTGCATCTTTTGGATACAGACTCAAAAAGCAGTTATAAACTATTTTGCTGGAAACAGTAAAGACCAGAACTTCTGGTCATATAAATCATTGTAGTTCCATTAATCAACTGAATGGTGTAAATCAATACAGTGATTAAATCAGTGCACTGATTTATACCAGCTGAGACTGTCTCTATAATGTACATTGTAATGGATTTGGATAAATTAGGATGAACCCAACTTGACTAAACAATTCCCCACCTACACATACACACAATACCAACGTTTCTTTCTTCTTTCCATTACCATGAGAGGCCTCTCAAAGCTCCCCCCAGATTGACCTTCACAGCTTTGTTTGCCCCAATCTCTTTCCTGCTACCTTCACTTTGTCTATGACTAATACACTAGATATCAATCTGCTCCCTTTCAGGGACTCACAGATTATTTGATGGCCTTGAAGATGACGTAGAACCTGCTTCAGAAACTTGTATACCATAAATGTTAGAAATGTATCAAAATATGGACCATTATACACAGGCTGTTGCTTTCAGAATGGATAGCAACTCCACACTACTCACCCTCTCTGGCCTGCTGTCCCGTCCTGGTAACTTCAAAATATCATCTACATTTTTAGACTCTGGCTTCCTCTCCACTCGTGGAGTAGGAGGAGGCTGGCGGGGTACTGATGGAGCAGAAATGGGCATTCTCTCCTCAGGGTAGTTTCTTCGATCACCTACAAATCCCAGAAATTATAGACACATTTGCTCAGCTCAGTGAAATAAGAAATCTGTGACTCTCCCATTCTCAATCCAAGGGATTTGAAAAGACACCAATAATTTCACACTTTGTTTTTGCCTCAGTTATGGTCAGGTATGTAAAGCAAAAGATAAAATTTAATTAACTCGTATCAGAAAAACAGAAAGTCTGGACTGATGGAAATGTTTCAAAGAGGCAGACTGTCTACTCATATGAGAACAAGTCTGGAATAAAGGATCACCACAGCAAAAATCTCAGCCACCAATGGTTTCCTCTGTGCCCTAAGAAAAGCTGCTTATAATCTCTTTAAAAAACTGTAAAATGGGAGTAATGAAGAACACCTTCTAGGTGGGCTGTGAGGCTTAACCATTGTTTCTAAAACACAAAATATTTAAATCTCCTACAGAAGTGTTGAATATTATTGTTGTCTGGAATAAAACATCTGGAATGATCATCACAATTTTTCTGGCTAATTTATGTTGGTCTGTGACTATTTATTTTACAGCTCTGCAAACCACAAGAAATACAGGCAGATACAGTGTGAAATCATATTATTAAAATCCATGGCAAATAACAGGACAGAAAATCCAAAAAAAGTTTAGGTGGTTTTGACAGATTTGTGGTACATATCTGTTGGATTTTCACTTTTGAAAAGTTCATTTTTTTTCATAACCCCTTTCTCCTCCTGCTGCTTAGCAATACTGGAATTAAATCTGCTTTGCCCATGGGAGTAAGACTATGGACAGTGATAAAGACTTGAAATATCATTAAAATTTTAGCATCAGGAGTTAAGCACTATGGCAGTCAGCACCAAGTAAGCCACTATTCCAACACTGAGCAATTCTGATTATAGGTACCTGTATTACTGACGGGCAAACAATGCATTTTTCTAGATCTCATTATCTGAGAAACATACAACCACCAGTACAATAAATTATTCTGATAATCTCCACTAAAATTTACATCTTTACTGAAGGAATTCAAATGATAAAATTAATCTCCCTGTGATCCCTTGTTACGTTTCCCCAATCTTCTACTACGGAGGTTTTCAACCTTTTTTGGCCAGGGTACCCCCAGCAGTTGGTCAAGAAGCGAGGTGTCCCCCAGCAGCTGGTCAACAAGCATGGGTGGGGGGACCGTGCAGTGCACAGCATATAACAGCAAAACTGGAAGTGCCAGCAGCTTCTCTGTGCTGCTGCCGCATAACTCCTGCGGCCTTCCAAAGTACCCCCAGTTGAAAACCCCTGTTCTACTACATTCAAGCAACTATACCTCCAAACATGGAAGGCCCGTGATCATAGGTTGAGCGATCTGGTTTCCTTTCATATGATGGTCTTTCAAAGCTCCCTCGCCTTGTGGAGGGATGGTCTTTCTTGTCACGGTAAGACTGCGTCCTTGAAGGTACAGTTGGAGGAACCCTGCCAGAAGAGACAGTATTTTTACAGTGTTCTAGGATATTTCCTAAGGAGTACATCAAAAACTCCCAGTTTGTGAACCTAAGTTACAAACAGAACTATCTGACAAGCAATACAGCATTAATCATGTGGACATCTCAGCTTGTCCTATACTACATACCTGTCCTCTCGAGGGTGGCGCTCTTTCTCAAACCTCTCACGATCATAATCTCCAGAACTACGGTCTCTGTGCACTTCCCGCTCCCTCTTGAAATCTCGGTGATCTATACTGGAATTGCCTTGACGCTCAAAGTAAGGTTCACGATCTCTTTCTCTGTTGTAACGGTCACGCTGGCCTGGATGCTCTGAAAAAAGAAAACACAAATCTAAATGATAAATATAATCTCCAAACCTTAAAAAGTTCCCCAAAGTACACGAAAAGCAAACAGGAATATAGAGCACTGAAGTGGAGAGGGGCTCCCATTTAGTAGGAAACCAGTTTCTCAACTGTGCCAGTAAAACTGTATTATACAATTGAATTAATGTACTTATAAATCTCCCTCTTGAAAGTAGTTAGATTGCTGGTCCTACAACTGCTATTGGAAGCATATGAATGTTATCCTAATGAACCCCTACAAGAGAGCAGCACACAACCTTTTGCTAGAAAAAGGGACCTCTGGTTTCACATACACCTGTGCTGTCTTCCTACACCTCTCTAAGAGCCATCTCAGAGCTACCCACCTTTAGGAAATGGCTGTCTCTCAGGCAGAGGCTCTGGTCGCAGAGTTATTCTTTCCCCATAGGGAATTTGTTCTACTTTACTGGTGGTAATATCTGATAAAGGAAGTCAACAAGAAAATAATTAAGAACTGCTCAAAACTGTTCCTCAGTTCTTTTCTCATCCAAAGCAATGATACTGTGACATTCAAAAGAGGAAAAGGTAACTTGGCCTCAGTATGCAGAGGTCTACCATATTAAAAAACCTTTACTACATTCATGTTAACCAATGACTACACAGAGGAACATGCTGGACTATTAATGTATAATTTCCTCATATATGTAACTATCATTATTTCAATTAAAGATACAGATGTGAATTGAATAAACTTCCCAGAATAGCGGTCCAAACAGCAGTCCCTAGCAACACTGCAATTAAAATCTGTGTTTCTGAGCCTAGATGTGCATCAGTGAAGGCCAAAGGTGAAACAAACAGGGCTGCAATGAATTATTTTTACTACTGTCCTATTATTAGAGTGGAATTTAACACTGGAAAAGAAATGCGAATTACCTTTAAATGATCCTAGCTAAAATTCATCAAAAAATATGACCTCAGCACTGTATGTTTTAATAATTTTTACTAAAAATATTTAGACTCTGTTGAAGTTATTCAGAGGTAAGAAATAAAATAGTTTAACCAGAAAGGAACTTTTCAGCATTTTTGTAACTCACCATGTTTGCAATTTTTAAAAAGTTAATTTCTTTAAGACATTCTCATTACAACTAAGGGAACTTGGCATTACTGTATTTTTTCACATATAACACTCTCTGATATAACACACACCCTATTTTTGGAAGGCTTCAAGAAAGAAAAAAGATCTTACCTTGGAGTACGGGTAAATACTTAAGATCTAGGGCCTCCAAGGCTCGGGGGCCACATGCAAGGGTTGACACTGGTGGCCAGCCCTATCCAGATCTGCAGTACTGGGGCCATGTGGTAGGACTTGATCTGACCATGGCGGAGCTGGGTGCTGGGCCCAATCTGATTGTGCAACACTGGGAACTGTGTGGTAGGGCCTGATCTAGGCAAGGTGTGACAGGGCTGGGGACACTTGCTGGGTCCAACCCTGTCTGCTGGCTCCAGAGTTGTATGCCAGGTCCAACCCAGCGCACAGCCCCAAAGCCAGTGCAGAGTCTAGCCACAGGCCAATCCAGTGCAGCAGCCAGGTGGCCAGGTGTGGGGGAAGAGGAGAGAAGCGAAGCGAAGCAGCAACAACATTGAATTGCCACAACTCCCAGAGCCATGACAATTAATGCTGCCACAAGTCTACCCCCACCAAATGCTCCCATGGGGAGCCTTTTCCTCACATACAATGTGAATATATCATGTTCCCCAGCTAGTTTAAGGAAAAGAAATACGGGTTATGTGTGAGAAAATATGGACTACAATGATATACGGAGCTTTACATGGAAACTGTGGTAAGAGTTTGAGCATACTTTGAAGTAAATATCTCAGAAAATACCTATATAAAAGAGGGGCGGGCAATTATTTTGGGTGGAGGGCCGCTTATTGAGTTTTGGCAAGCCAACAAGGGCCAAATGACAGGCAGCCAAGGATAGATAGATAATGATTTTCTAAATTTTTTAGGGGCCCCATGGGCCAGATAGAATGGCCTGGCGGACCACATCTGGCCTGCAGGCCACATTTTGCCCACCCCTCCTATATAAGAAGGAACAGGGGTCCTTTCTAATTAAGTTAACCTATTGGATTAGTTCATCCACTACTCACCTCTGCCATGGCCATAGTCCACAGTCTGCTGAATTAGAGGTGGTTTAGAAATTGATGGCATAACCGAAGAAAGTGAAGTTGATACAGATGACAAAAGGGAAGGGTGAACAGAAGATGAGGCAGGTGGTGGCAACCCTGAGTCCGATTTACATAATTCATACTCTAAATTTGCTCCCTTATCTTCAGTGGTATCCCAGAGCCCATGGAAAGAATCCTCATCCCAACGTTCCTGTTCCACAGTAGCAAGTGATGGTTTTAGACCTGGAGTCTGACTTGAGGATGCAATTGGAGTAGGAGATGAAGAAAGTGGCCTTGATACGGAGGCAGATGACCGTGTCACTGTGGAAGCAGGCCTGGTCACTGCAGTGGGCTGCCTGAACAGAACTGGTGGCTTTATAATAACAGCAGGAGATGTGATAGGTTGAGATTCTAATGATGTCTCAGATGGATGTTGAGAAGAGACCTAGGTACAGAAAGCATTTTTAGTAAGAACCTGAAAACTAAGCTTCCCTTATCCCATGAGAATATGGTAACCAAAACCCTCTGTATAACTTGCATTCCAGCCAGAGAGGTGCTTTCATAACAGACTCTCACATATTCTCTAACCATAAGCATTTTCAGGTCCACCCATGGGAGGCCACAGCTCAGAGAACACTGATATTCACAGATGGTCTGCTACTGGTGGAAACTGCTCACTAATTTATCCTACACGTTACTTAAGTTAACAATCAATGAAAGCTGAACTCTTTTATTAATAACTTTACCAAATTATGATCTCTTTAGCCAAGGTTCCTCCAACTTGCTCTCAGCTAAGAGTTGCACTTTAAAAGTCTATGAGAAATCATCAGAAAGTCTCAACTAAGACTGATTCTACATTAGTGAATGTGTCCACAGGTGTAGCCAAACAAGTACAAAAACAGTTTAGTTGTAATTACTATATATAAATGAACAAACTATATTCTCCAGTTTGAGAAATCAGATAGAAAAGCACTCCAGAACAGTCAAGAACATTGTTTGTGCTTTCTAAACTTGCAGCTAAACTGTTGAAAGCAGCAGTTCAGGCATACCATTGCTAAAAATAAAGTTAACTTCTTGATGAAGACAAACTCTGCAGGGCAGCTAGGTTACCCATCTAGTTTTCTTTGTATCAACCCTACCTATAGATAAATCATCCTCTGCACAACTCCCAGAAAAACTTCACCCTTTCTATAGTTAATGCAAGTTCCTTGGCTTACCCAAGAGAAAACCTGCTTTGTGTACAGCTAAAATTTAAATAGAAATCTTGCTGGCTCATCCTTCATTAGACTGTGAGATCAAAAGTATTTTTTCCTCCAACTGGGTTTATGTTTATCAAAGTACACTTTTGTGGGTGTTGACTTTAAGTGCTAAAATATAAATGTTTATGGACTACCATCTCATACCTCACTATAAGTAACCAGGAAACCATGTCCACAATATCTCAACTAAATTAGAGACTCAATCTGATGTGCAGATGTCATTTACCTGATAGGAACCTGGCCTTGGAGTTGTGGTCTGTGATCTAGAGGTCTCATGTGTTGGCAGTTCAGGCTCAGGTACAAACTCTTTCAACTTCTGCATCTGCTCTTTCTGTTCCCTGCACATCAATCACAAAAAGTGTTATCATTCCACAGTTAAATGGTCCTTTAAAAGATTTAGGAAACCAACAAAAACATACTTCAGTAGTACCAACAATGAATATTTGCTATAGAACTTTCAATTGGAATAAAGAAAACACAAACAGCTGATAGCATCCCCAAAGCCAGCCTTCTGAGAGGTACCTATGATAACATGTAGGTTGTTTGGGACAGAACCTTTTAAAAAAAAATATTAACCATGTTTATTATAGCAGCACGAAGGGCCAACCAAGAATGGTGCCCATTGAGCTAAGCAGGCAGAGATAAGAAAGCATCCATTCTACAGCAAATTTTCAGTCCCTAGCACTATACAGTCCTTTTCCAAGAACAGAACTCCCAAGTACCACTACTGTTCAAATTACAAGAGTAACTTGGAGCACTCCCCTCAGATCCAGTGCTCCTAGCACTAGCTTTGTAAAA